GCAGACTCCAGAAATCTCAGAGTTGTTCACTTTTAATCCATTGTAAACAGCCAAGGGGCAGAGAGCACTGAGAGAAGTTTTCCTGTAACAAGGCCAGATTTCAGTGCTAGCCTAAATCTTACCCTCAGATGTAGAATTACTCTGAATTCTGAGCCAGAGCAGCAGAGGTCAAAATCTAGCCAAGAGACAGAGCTGTTGAATATAAGACCACATTTTTCCTCTAGAGACTTTTCACCTATTACAGGTGAGAAACTTTTTGGAAAGCTCTCCACTGACACTTCATTTTTAAGCTGCTTTTAAATTTGACAGAGTACCTGAGACTTATTTAATTAGATTAAGCCACAGCTAACATTTCTTGCACACTGCAGAAGTTTGCTTGTAGCAGCTAATTGCATACTTTTTTAACCTTATCTTAAACCTGCAAGTCTTCAAACTCACTGTGCAGACACAAGGAAAACCCCAGCCAACTTCACTGAAAGTTTCTTCAGCAAATGGCAGCAAGGTTTGATGACCACAGTAGCCTGAGCTCACAAGCGATCACTAAATATTTGAGCAGTGTCATTTACAGTCCCAGCGGTGATGAATGGCTCATCTTCCCTAAAAAAAGAAGTCATTCTAAATTATTCACAAGTGACTGAATCTACCACTGTGTCCCTGTGTCACAGGGACAAGCAGAAGCCTCTTGAATGGACTTGCCAGGACCTGTGAACTCAGCCTCACTCTCATCCTCAAACACAGGCAGCCCTTATGCATTTACATTGCAAATGGCACTACAAGCATCACTAAACTTCGTTTTGGAATATGAGCATTCATCTCCAAGCTGTCAAGAAAATATGCCCATTTGATTACTCCCCAACCATCCAAAAAGAGTTGGGTATTATTATTAATCATGCCTGTGTTTTATAAATATGAAGGTTAATAAAGCCATTTCGTTCTCTAAGAATCTGTCCAGATCGATCTGTCCTTCTAGTTTATCACAATCTCCCAGCTGTGGGAGATAATCTACATTAAGAAACAGTGTCCCTATGATTAATAGCAGTCTTGCAGACCACAAACATCCCCATTAGATTCCACATTTATCTGATAAATACATTTCAGGAGAATAACTTCGGAGGACAGGGAAAGTGCATCGCATTTGTACAACTTACAAGTCTACATAGTTATTAAATCCACTAAGAACAAATCCCATCTTCCACTGCTGGATAAAAGCACTTTTAAGAATAGGCCTATGCTCTCTGCCTAAATAAGAACAAGCTAGAAGAGTTGCAAATGCAGAGAAAACCCAAACCTACCCTGCCCACCACCAGCCTGGCCTAGGCCACAGCTGAGTCACCAGCTGCAGATACCTGTAAAAAGGCAGTGTGAGAGGGGACAGGGATGAGCTGCTCTCCCCAGCCCCTCTTTAGGGCCATTTTCACCCCTTGCTGGACTGCATACCTGGAATCTGTTTTGTCACAGAGCAGATGTGATCTGCGTGGACGTGAGTCCATTCCAGAAGCCAGGTCCCTGTAACTCTCTCTCACGGCAAGTTGCAAAGTTGTTTTATGCTGAGAAACAAGTAATGGGTTTTGGCAGCCATTAAATTTTTCCATCCAGATATTACGACAAGAGAGAAAAATTGTGGATTTTCTCTATACCAGTTCTTATGCATCTGAACAATTTTCCTTTGAAACCCTTCTGTGCCAACCCTAGAGAGACGCTCAATGTGCAGAAGGCACCATCATTTTAAATGCGGTTGCTTTATCCCCAGAAGCTCCTTAAAAACCCATCTCTTCCAGACCTCCCCAAAGGAGCACCTGGAACAGCTACAACTGTAGCGGGAAGAGATGTTCTGGTACTCTCCTTGCACACCTGATGCCATCTTTCTGACCCAAATTACCACAAGAATCCAGTAGCTACCTCAGACCCTTTCACAACACGCTGGTGAACACAGTGAAGCTGCATTACATGTCCAGCAAGCTGCAAAACAAATTCAGTCTAGATTTCCATTAGGTTAGATAACAGCAGATGGAACTTCACCCAGGAAGAGTAAGCTAAGACCTCTACCCACAGAGATCTGAGCAACATTCATTTGATAGACTTGCTTCCACAGCATCACTTGCTCTGCCATCCCATTAAAAAGCAAGACAACAAGGATTTATGATTACCTGTGTCTGCACATTTGTCTTAACTAGCACTTCTCAAGGCCTGCAGAACAGATCAAAGCTGGGTCCTGAAGTTTCCTAGGAAGTTCATTGTGATGCCCAACGCAGAACCTGCCTGTATATTCCACATCCAAAGGAGTTAATACACAGAAATCCATAAAACCTGTGCTGCAAAGCTGCTAGGCACAATCTAAATCCAAGTAACTGTGGGTACAGAGGACTGAGTACAGAGGAGTGCCTGGAATAAACCCCCAAATACCCAAGTTTTCTTCAAACTCACTACCTTGGATACTGCAGTCCACATGCAGGAACACCTCACTGACCCTTGTTGGTAGAATTACAGACATGTAACATTACATGAGTGTTAACACACAGACAAAGGAAAACACAACATTGTTCAGCAGTCTAAGAAAAAAACAAGCCTCCTAAAGGGAGGATGTGACTCACCTGAAAGAACACTTTCTCATTGTACAAATTCACAGTCACTAAAGTAAGGACACGACAAAACAAAAAGCATCAGACTCGAGCAACTCCATGTTCCAGTCTGGAAGCAAGTGAGCCTGTTCACAATGAATTACTTTCATAAATGCAAATCCTCTTGCTCTTTAACATCACTACTTCAGCATTTATTTTCATTAGAGTAAATAACTGCGCCTATGGGACCGTTTTACAATCCAAGTGTTTGCACAAACCTGTTGGCAAGTCAATGCACACATTCCCCAAGAGATTCACCACCAAGACAGAGTCATTCATCCTCCAAGCTAATGATGAGGATAACCATCAGTTCAGGCTCCCACGTGAACGGTCACACAGCTACGTCCAGCCTCGTTCTGGAAGCGACGCTCCCGCTCAGGAGAGTGGAGGATTTATGCTGAAGTCACCCCTGAACACCCCTTCTCTTTGCTGTGCTTAGAGAAACATGAAATTGGAAGCTTAGATTTTTATCTAGACAAATCAGCTGTGTAGAACAGAAATAAAGAGGCCAGCAATAAGATTTCTATTGTTTAGAACTGTAGAATTAGTCTAAAAATCTTGTCATGCCATTGCAGGGTAGTTCAGCAGTATCAGCCACAGAGACCCTGATCTCTTATCCCAAAGTTTAGGGATTTTGTCTTATCCAGTGAGTTGACAACAGCTCATATCCACAAGGGCCAGGCTATTTCCACGCCTGAAAGAACACACTTTCAGCCCACATCACCCCAAGGACCTACCTACTTGCACCACCAAGAAGCCATGTTCAGCTGCCAGGATGGAGGATCTGCTCCAAGGAAAATGCAGCAGATCACTCTTGTGCAACTCCAGATGAGCAGCTGTGCTCAGATGGTGACTCTCCCTGAAGCAGAGACTACCTTTAGGTCAGAGCCACAAGAACATGATCCATGCCAAGACCCTGCACTTCTGCAAAGAACAACCCTGATAGGCTCCATACGTCATACAGACCTCTGACTTTTCGTGCATCGTGATGAGCAGTCTAAAGACTGAAGGAATAAGTCAACAGGCTGGATCATACTCAAGGTAAAATGGCAGACAGCAGGGAACTTTCAGCTCTATTTATAAAGCCAAACACACTGGGATTTCAGCTGTGCACACTACCAGCACAATGAGCCTGAGAAACTAAGAGCTGGAAGTACTTCATTATTGTGATCACTTCTTTACCTATCAACTCATCAGCAATCCACACTTTCTCTTGTTTACTGTTACATTTTGACCTGGGTGATGCTATATTTTATTAGCCAGTGAAAACTCAAGGACTAGATCTTCATAAAATTCTTGGACGAAGCTGCCTTCCTGCCCTGATCCCAAATCATCTCACAAGGCAAGCTGCTAGAGGAAACGGGGTTTCCTTTTAGTCACTGACCTCTAGTGGTGAACACAGCGGAGTGGAGAAAAGGGATCACCATGGAGCAGGATTACACAGGAAAAGTTTCTTTACCTAAAAGAAACCCAGACAGTGCAACCATCCTTCTTGTGCAAACTACAGCAGGAGAGTCACTCTGCTCGGGGATGGAAGCCCCAATACAGTGGCCCAATTCACCCCTAAGTATTAATAGAAGAAAGCTACTCTCCTTGTGTCAGCTCTTGTTGTTATAAGCAGCAAGAAATGTTTTACCTCCCTCCCATTCCTTATGGGGATCTCTGTCCCTTGCAGGCTCATTTTCTCCTAAACATTCAGCTTTCTGTGATCCAAGGCCTGGCTTTGCCCAGCTTCTTAACCTTGTCTCAGACTGCTGAGAAAACAGTCAAGTTCCAAGAAAGGGCTGTAGAATTCCACACAGCAAAGCCTCGCAAGATAAGACACCCTAGAATAAGGGGGAATTAGAGTCTTATTTGGCAGACTTGAATGGCAGATCAAGCTTGCTGCCTTTCTTTGAGGGCACATCACCTTATCCAATTGCAGTAACAGCAAAAAAATGTGCAGAAAATGTTGCAGCAGCCTGTGCAGCAGCTTCAGCTGTAGCACTGTGCCTGCCAGGGCATGAGCGTATATAATACATGTCTGCACTTCACCTGATCCCCCCACAGCTAGATATAGAAACAGGATCTCTGTGTTTAGACACTGGACTGATTCACAGCAGCTGAGCTGCAGACAGTGACCTGTGGCATTAACCGTGGAAGTAATTTCTCTCAGACTGAAAATGAGTTGTCACTAGAGCATTTGCTCAAACAAGTCCCAGTTAACCAACACTTCTATTCAACCTACTCCCAAATATATCCTTTTTCTGATCAGGATCCTAAATACATCATGCTTTGCTCACATTCTGGTAGACCCTGCAGATCACAGTCCAGCAGTAATATTTTAATCAACTGATCAGTGACAAAGTCATGGTGCTTCCACACTTACTGTAACACCAGTACCTTAGCTTTCTTCATGTGGCTCATGATTTTGCCCAGATCTTCCACATCTACAACAGAATTTGTGTCTCCAGCTTTCTCAGCATCAGATTCCTCCTCACTAGTGGTTTCAAAAAACTCCTCTGCCTGTGTAGGAGATCAGAAGGAAAAAAAATTAGGAACATATCTCTGTGTTAACATCAACAAAGACTTCTAAAAACAACTAACAAGCCAGCATCCACCTGTATATTAGATGCATCTACATACTATTAAAAATCCTAAGTTTATTTTAAAGATCTCAGTAGCACACAAACCACTGGAAACTTAATCCAGATGTCCTGCCTGGAGGTCTACACTATTCTGTTTTCCTCATTTGCCTACCTGATCACACAGAGGTGTCCAACTCCCCCTGTATGCCGTGAAGGTCTGGAGGCCTAGCCCCTTTTAACTCCCTGAAACACAGCTCCCTGAGCGGATAGGAAGGAGCAGCACTGCTTTTCCAAGTCAAACTCTTCAGAGAGCAGAAGTGTTGTCTCCCTCTCCGTACACAGCCAAGGCACAGCAAGACAGGATTGATATAACAGCAAAACTTACTCCTGTTCCTGCAGGAGCTGAACTTTCAAACCCACTCAACCAAAGAGCCACTATTTTCTGTGGAATTCTACATGGCAACAGCAACCACTTGCAATGCACAGCACATGGCTTGCAGGGAGGAATAGAGTGCCATAGCAGCTCTAGGTGTCTCATTGCAGAGCAAGAGACATGATTCTTTATTCAAAACCCACAGTTAGCACCTGCGGTCCAGAAAAGACCTAAGTGATTAGAGCAGACTGCTTCAGAGGCAACACAGGACTTGCTCAGATAACACTCCCCAAACTCATCAGAAAAAAATAAAAACAGGATACAGGCAAATCATCCAAGAAGCTACTTGAAATAGAAGCAGTTTAACTGCTCAGGGGGAACTAAGGGCTTCATTCGGGCAAAGGGGATAAGCAAAAACTCTGATGAAAGACCAGGCTGGCTCCCCAGAGTCGTAACATACACCTTTTCCTTCACAACAGGAAGGCTTCCTCATCGTACAGGTGCAATTCAGTCTAGGTTTACCACTAGTTCTTGGGCAACTTACTCTAACTTCTTCTAGAAACTAATTATTGCCTGCTAAGAGATCTAACTTTTCTCTCTCTACACTCTCTTGAAGTATGAATTTTCCACAGGGCCCTTCTGAATTAGAGGGGGAGGTCAAAGAGCACTGAACCAGCCCTGGTCAAGACACTCCCCTTACAGAAAGGGGGTCTCGTGGATTTTGGCTCTACCTCAGTATTCACATACTCCGACGGCCCATGTTCATGATCCGAGCTCTCCTTGCTCTGCTTCCCCTGGGATTTGCACTTCCCTTTCTTGCACTTCCCACTGCAGGGTTTCTTCTCGCCTTTGCAGAGCGCCTGGAGCCGCCTGAGGAACTTTGTTTTCCAGGCTTCAAAATCAGCCTCGATGCTGCCGTGCTTGCTCTGGGCCACGTTACGGTCCCCCTCTGCACGAGTCATGATACGGCTGGCACTGAGCATCCACAGCCACCTGTCAATATTTCTTCCAACCTAGGACAGGATAGAAGATAAAGAGAAATTAAATAAAGCCAAAGTTAAACACAGGTGATGGGGAGAGCAAGGACTTAACACATTTTGCATGGCTCCAGCTACACAATGTGATGACAAATCATGCCATTTTCATCCTTCCAGGTCAGAAGATCCTTACCCCTGGACTAAGGCACTTCAAGTTTAGTTTCTTGAAATGAAAATAAGACTCTCGGAATCCAGCAAAGGGCATGAAATGCTGAGAAAGAAGCGCTCTAAACTAAAAGCAGCAAGTCAGAGGTTTTACAGTACTACCTCTTCATGCACTAATGGAAAGATTTTGAAACTTGGAAATTAATAAGGAGAAGTTTACCAAATACATGCTCATGGTCCCTACAAAAAGCCTCCAAGTTTAATGCAGTGCTTATGGGACTCCTTTTTCCAGGTTAGAAAGGTAGCAGATTGCTTCAAAGATGTATTTCCTGTCAAGCTGTTCTCAAAACAGTAGCAATAGATTTTTAAGATTGGATGGACTCATTATCAGGGTCACTCAATTTTACAGAATTTAAGAAAGCCTGACCTTTTCAGAAGAGCAAAAGATAAAGAAGAGAAGCTTACTGTGTTGTAGTGATCAACATAAGCTGAATTTCCCAAGCCAAACACAGCGTATCTCAGGCCTCTCAGGTACATCTTGCCAAAGCGGAAATCATTGGCAGCCTCTTCTAGCCACTTGCAGAACCACGCTGCGCTCTCCGGCGGTTGTCCATCTGTGTACGTCGCTACCAAGAACACACAGACGTTCCTGCTGGTTGTCTAGTAACAAGAAAGGAAAGAACAGGTCACTTCGGTGTAAAGTGTTCTGGTAAAATGAACTGTAACACATGGACAGTCCAAACAAATGATACTTTTTTTCTTGGGCTGTGTGGATTAGGGACCTTTGATTCTGGTGATGATGGCAGTGGTGAAGAACAGCTATCCTCCCTTCTAAGCCATCCTAACTTAGCCAAGGGAAAATGAAGACATCTTCCCCTGCCAAGCAGGCACACATTGGTAAAACAGACTTGGACACCTACCTTCCCTACCTCCTTCCATGGCTTCTTGGGCAGACTCTTGCAGCATCAAAGTCTTTGGTAGGTTAAAAAGGTAGCCATCAATTTTAACAAAAGGGAGGGGTGGTTAAATAGTTTTAAAAGATTGATCAGAGACTAAATATAAATATGCTTTCCAGGAAGCTGCTAACTTACAAATTGCTGAAGGCTGCAGAATTATCATGACTTCTGTTCTATTTAACTAGGTGCATACTGCCAGGGGAAAACAGGAAGACTTGCAGCAGCCACTCACACAGCTCAGACATGAGAAATAACTAGTATCTGTATCACAGTTATGTTACATGATCCTTTTTCTAGCAGTTTTTAAAATCCATGTATTTTCTGCTGACGGTTGACAGGTTACACTCAGCTACAGAAAACAGAAGGAACTTTGGGGATTTGCAGGATAATCGGAGAAGCATTTAGTAAAGAGGAAAAGACCCTTTGCATTCTGAGAAAAAGTTTGTATTTGTTACTCATATTTGAGGTACCTACCTCCTCTGTTAAGCTATCGTCTGGATCATAGTCTCCCATATTAATGACTTCTGCAGACAAATCAAGGGAAATAACTGCTTCAGCCAGACCTTTGGCAAATCTCTGAGGAGAGAAATGTAGAAAGTCATTAACAACTCAACCCAACTAAGCTAAGTGTCAAATGGATTCTGCTGTGACCACCTGGCACAGGAAGTCTCACAACATGGAAAGAACAACATACAAGATCTGGATATTGCACCTACAATTTCCCCTCCACCTTTACCATCTTTTTTTTTTTTTTGTGAAATACACTGATAGGGGGAAAAATAAAATTTAATTAAAAAAAAGTAGATTCATTTAATGACCCAATGATTTCTGCATGCACACACACAAATCAAACACCTAAAAATAGTGCTTTCTATAAGGAAAGAGGACATGCTAGCAAGTTAAGAACATATGTAAGAGCCCATTTTAGACTTCGTAGTCAGTGTCTCTACTGCATTCCTCTCTTAAATGAGGGAAATAGGATCACTGTTATTTTTACGTATTTTCATTTGTGATCTTTCATGTTGGGCCAACGACTTCTGATGAGCTAGCCAACTTTCTGATAAACTTTCAAGTTTTTACAGCATAGTGTTTTTAAGGCATGCTTGAATCTAGACAATATTTCATGTTAACATCACACATATGAACAAAAACAGCCTGTACCTTTGCTGTGCCAGTCTGAGATCCATAGAAAATCTTTACCCCAGCAACATAGACCTCCTTCGCCTTTGAGGAGACATATCCATTTACGAGCTTGCCCTCCGTTACTTCAGCGGAAGCTGGATCCCCACTGCACTTCTCATCCTGCAAAGCAATCACCGTGTTGAAGACACCACCTGAAGAACAACCTGAGTTTTCTCCCATCGCAAGCTCCTCACTCACACACAGGAGAAGTTTTTGCATTCTGACTAGGCTAATCCCACTCCCAAATGTGGTTCAGACTCGTCATTAACTTCAGTGGGCAGGGAAAAACAAACAAACCAAACAAACATTGGGCAGACACAGAGCTATGTACTTGAAGAAGCAACACACCAGTCTAGATAGATCTGCTCCAACGTCACAGTAACAAGGCTAGTTAGCTTTTCAAATTCATGATATGAGCCAAATTGAGGAACATGACTATTAAGTGAGCTAAGCTACATTTATTATTTCCCAGCCATTTATTATTTACCAGCCTAGAGTGCTGGTAAAGTATCCCATTTTACTGCACCAATAAGTTGCATGACAACTATTCATTTCTGCACCTGGATTTTACAGGCCTCTCCAGGCAAAAGGGCTTAAATGTTCACTTACCCTTTTTCCAGTTTTGTTGGTGAAGAACTGAATGCAGATCCAAATACTGATCCCCAAAGCAAGAGAGGAATAGATATAAAATCGGTGTAGCCATAAGGACATCAGATAAGTATAGAAGTTCTGTGGATCCATTGAGACATCTAAAACTAGAATAAAAATCACAGATTTAGCAAGAGTAGATCCCTTCAAGACCAACGCGCACACCAAGGCCAACACAGCATCATCCAGGAACACTGGGTTTTCACTACCAGGGCAGGTGAGCTCGCACCACGCTACTACCTAAAGCTCAGAACATTGGGTTTTCACTACCAGGGCAGATGATGGGGTTTTAAGGACAGGCACGCTCGCACCACGCTACTACCTAAAGCTCAGATACACAGAACATTGCACCAGGCAACGGTCTTGGCCTTGCACAGACCCCACACGTGCACAGCCCCAGGGCAATAAATGGCCATTTCGAGGGGAAAATTAACGCAAGGCCTCTGAGCAGCTGATTAAAAAGCATTAGCAACTACACTTGTTTCAAGAGTCACTTTGGCACGTAGAGATTCAAGGCCAGACTGAAGCCTGGAGGGGACTGAAGGTCCTGACCGCCCTGAGCGGCTGCGCTTTCCGTTCTGAACCGGGCTGCCCTGAGCCGCCTTTGCCGCTCCAGGTCCAGGACGCTGCAGCCCTGGGACTGCCTGGGCGGCCCCGGCGACCGCTCGTTGCAGTGAAACACTCAGGAGCGCAACGAACCCGCACCCGCGGGTGAGTTAACTAACCCTCCGCACCGG